TTGGTACAAGTCAGAATTCAGGGACTAGACACTGAGTCGATCGCCTCGTAACCCAAAGGTCCTGGGTTCGAACCATTGCGATGAGTGTATACTGATGAAGAATCTAAACTAGAGTGGAACAGCTGTCCAGTACTCCCACTCCAGTACCTCCACTGACTCTCGAACTGATGCAATCCTGCAACCAATCAAATCCCTGTGAAACCAACACTTGAAAATCGAATCAATCTTTGTTGTATCATATCACTTCTTCAAGTTGTCGCCGAGATAAAAGGATGGAGGATGAAGTGGAAGGGAAGATGTAAACTTCTGGGCGATCGTGAAGCCAGCCAAAAAATAAAAGGACCGCAGAGAACAGGATGAAACGTGTTGATGTGTCTCTAGAGCATTATATTCCACTAGGAATCCAAGGGAATATTAATAATAATAATAATATTAGGGCTTGACACAAAAATTGATTAACTCGAGACATAATATTCATCTGCCTTTCCGTCTGTCGAACAAAATGATGTTCCACATCGTATAGAACATTTGCGTTTCAGCCAATAGGTCCTAGGCTCGAGTTCCCTTCTATTTTTCCCAGTCTGAAGAACTGGATAGTATCACCACACACACATAGACGCGTGTGTAAAAACACACAATAAGTGTAGCTTATAACATGGTGCATAAAAAATCGATTCTGAATAGAAGAAATCTGAGTTCTAGCAACGTAACGAAAGCGGCAATGAAGACAATTGAGATATGTGTAAAACTTGGGCACTGTGGTAGTAAGTAATTCCATATTAGTTTGTTTATTAGATGTATCACACAGTCAGTGAAACAGTATTATTTACTGGATGACAAGTTTTCGAACACAGTCTATTATTGTTCATAATCATTTCACCAATTATAATCACACGACTTCGAAACATGAGTTTTATAGTTTTCTTTGTTCTCTCCTATTTGTCGTCGTCGGGGTAGCAGAACTTTCCAGATACCCATGTGGACAGGTGTTGAATCATTCCTATTACGTGTATTTGCAGTTGATTCGATAAACAAAGCTCCTGTTATCAATATCTCCCTCCACTCTGTTACATTAGATTTTAAAACTGTCATCCTATCCCATCCATCCTATGGTATGGCTGTGTGTAATTGCATGTAGTGTGTAGTGCTATAGCTGAACTATTCTCTACATTTCTTATCTTATTCGGGTCAACCAATCTAGATTTTGCTAGCAAATCTAGGGAAAGAGTGATGTCAACGGAAGCTTTGTTTATCGAATCATCTGAAAACACATGTAATAGGAATGATTCAACACCTGTCTAGTCGGATATCTGGAAAATTCTGCTACCCCTACGACGACAAATAGGAGAGAACAAAGGAAACTATAAAACTCAAGTTTCAAAGTCGACGGGCAATGTTAGCTGATATAGGGCCAGGCTGGAAAAGAGCTAGCGGTGATCAAACGAAAACATGGCACCAGTCAATGAAATCCACAACAGTTAGTCTAAGCCACGTAGGAAGATGTAGACTTCCTGGTTGAGGTCCTCGGGACGGTAAAAACCATTGGTTGGAAACAATTGGTGACATGGCTCAAAATCGTTCTCAGTGGCGCAGATGCATCCACTCCTTGTGACTTATGATTTCCGTTATTACTATTCCTTTGTCTCACACCTCTGTTTACTGTCTCTAATATGCATTTCTTCTACTTTCTCCTCTTGCTTTGTGTGCTACATGGAGTGTGGCGACTTGAACTGCCGCACATATGTGCAAAGTTCTATGTCGAAAACCGACCGACCGTGATTATAATTGATGAAATGATTATGAACAATAATAGATTGTGTTCGAAACTTTGTCATCCAGTAAATAATACTGTTTCGCTCACTGTGTGATATACCTATCTGATAAACAAACTAATATGAAAGACATCTGAAACCCAGGCGAAATTCCTAAGCTCAAAAAAAGTCTTTGAGATGACAACAACTTATTAGTGGGCCAAAAATGTTTTACTATTTCATAAATTTACTTGATTCGCCTCCACGCAAAGATAATTTATGGATGATTGTGAATAGACAGGATAGATTTATATGTGCTCAATTATTACAGTCTTCTGTGGCATGATGGCAGGAAAAAATCTATCAGAATACGGACATTAAACATCAATTTACTTGTCATGATAGATAGAGTCGGTGCTATTTCATGCGTAACACAGAATTAGATTAATGAGACGTTGTTAGCAAGTGGCTGGCTGTTATAGGGGAAATAGAATATTGCTGAAAAGTGTAGGCGTGTTTGATAAAAATAAAAGAAGTGTAAGTCAATTCGTCTAGCAGTTGAAAAAGTTTAGTGTTGTCCTTCATTGAAGGAACAGTAATAATTATTTTTTATTTGGTTGCGTTCTCTGAGCTAGTTGACTTGATTCTAAAGCTTTCGTTGGCCTTCTGGACAACACATCTTCAGCGTGAACTACATGAATGGTATAACCGTATCCTCTTGACAATCTTTGTTTTGATTGGCTGTTGATTTGTGTCAGAATTAAAGCTTTTTCATTAGCTTGGTTTTTAGTATCCACAGGGCACCAGACAGACAGTCTACACACCTTCCTATCTGATTGGTTCCAACCAACTGTCAAAGACTTTTTTGACTAATGCTAGATTTTTCGTATTTGATCATCCATGACTCCTTTCCAACATAACAGAACATATGTCAGCTAAAACTGATCGTTGAGGAAGGCGATGCCTTGGCTTATTCTCTATTAATTGGTGAATTTAATCTGTAGTAATGTTTTCCTGTAGGCGAGAAACACATTCATCAACCTGAAACCAATCTGAAAATCTTCATCACTCAACTCAGTATCAACAACAAAATTCGGATTTTCAATACTAACGTCAAGTCAGTCAGTTCTTCTATACGGATGGATCAGAAACTTGGCGGGTCACAAGAATATTTCCAACAGCCTGTTGCAGACCTTTATCAACAACTAACTGTCTTCGCTCTATACTGAAGATCAGATGGCCGGAAAGAATCACCAACAAGAAACTATGGGGACAAACAAAGCAAGAACCAATCGCTCAACAAATATGCAGGAGAAAGTGAAGATGGATTGGACACTCACTGGCTGAGGAGGCCGCTGGGTGATATCACGCGTCAGGCCAACGCTCGAGTGGAATCCGAAAGAGAAGCGGTGAGTGGGACGCGCAACGGTGACATGGATGAGATCGTGTGAAGAAGAGTTGAAACAGTATGGACGGACATGGATGCAGGTGAAAAGTACAGCAGAAGACAGAAGCAAGTGGAGACGTGCAGTTGGAGCCCTACGTTCCACTGGAAACCCAAGGGAAAAATAATAATAATAACAATAATAATAATGTTTTCCTGTTACCTATCTGATTTTTCTGAGTATTAGGCTTCCAGGTATTGCCTGTGAGAAGATACAATTATATCATCCGTTATGAAGAATTCAAATAAGTTCACTTCAAGCATATTAAAACTTCTGCTGAAAATGTTGCCTAGAAGGGCAATGAAACCTTCACAATCAAATAATCCATCTCATAGAAAATCATCCGTTGTCTTCACCACTTGGCCAATCAGTCTACGGGGAATAGAGGACTCCTGTGTGGTTGCTCCAAAAATTCAAAGTGTGCATACAGATCTGGTCTTATAAAAGGCTAAGATGAGTGTTTAGTCATCTTATAAACCAATGTGTACATCTACCCAATCAGTTGGTATAGCATAATAGTGCGGTGATATCAACGATTGGTATAAGTGTCTGACAGAGAGTCTCCATCCCCTTACACCACCTGGAACAGTTAAACAGTAGATACTCAGCCTGCGTATAACAAATGTGGCCTAAATTTTTTGGTAAACCAACCAATAATCAATGCACTTACTCTTGATTTTCTGAAATCCTACTGTGTTTCTGTTGTTTCTAAGTAGCTGTATAGTACTTGCTATTATAGTTTTAATATATAATACCCACCTTGAATGAAGCAAGAAGATTATTCATAAAGATTCTGGGGGAACAGTGTAGGCAATATAATCCCAGTAGGTGTAATTGAAGTAAAAAAGATGAAGTCTTCTTGTCACACACACCAACAAACTCCCACACCGTCAGACATTATTATCTAACTGAATTCTGACCCTAGTTGATTTTAATGACTTTGAGATTGAGTCGCTGCCGACCAGGGTACAATCTCGTTGAAAAGAGTTAGACACAGGATATAGATAAAGGTACAGATGAATTATGTAGTCTTCTGAACACTAAGACTTCCGGGTTACAAGGCGAGCTCGCCGACCATTCAAACACTGAGATACGATCCAACGGTCAGTCTTTGAATTCTGACTTGTATCACTTCGTGCATTTAGGGCGACTGGCACCAGCTAATGTCATCCGTGGTGAGTATTTGTTCCCACTCTAGACGAGATCGACCCCACTACTAGTCACGACTTCTCACTAGAAGTCCACGCAACTGTATCCTGCAGCTAGTCACTACTGACCACCAGATTTATTTTTCATGAGTTAAATTACGGGAATTTTATCTGTTTCAAGGTCATTGAGTTAGATCTCAGTGGCTGGATGGTCTACAAGCATGCCTTGTAAACAGAAGGTCCTGGGTTCGAGCCCTGGCGGTGGATGCCTACTGACACAACAGCGGGTTATTCGGTTTTCAATGGTACTCTAAGTGATGCATCAATCCGTCACCAAACATGAAATAATTATCCACTTGTCCAATAAGTCGGTGGCACAGCGTTCAGGACTCTCGCCAACCATGCACATGGTCCGGGGTACGATCCTCGACCGGCGCACACCTGATATCCATAGTCGGCCTGCTAAATTTTGGCTACTGATATCACATGCGGAAAATTCCATACTTGTGTCAAAAATACTGTGTGGAGTCAACCTATCATAACCAAAAATATAAAAAAATTGACAACTATTAGGCAAAACAAGTTAAAACCAAAGCAACAAAAGAATAAGAGACTAAAAGAGACAAAAAAAGGCCCCAATTAACTTGTTGACTTACTTCTAAAAATTGATGACAATACAGTGTCTGCTTATCTTTGCACATATTACGAAAAGCTGTAATGAGAACAGGGAATTCTTTGCATTGGATTAAATCCTTGTAGTGTAATCTAACCAATGAAAGGCAGACACGAAATAGCACCTTGTCACCTTCATAGAAGAGACAATCGAAAATGCGAATAGTTGTCTATACAGGAAGAGAAGAGAGAGAAAAAAAATGTAAAAAGGCGTACTAATTACATCTCTTAAGAGCAATAGTAAAAAGATTGAAATCACGGCAGAATGACAGAGTAATAGGAATGTTATTCCCTTCGCAGGGTTAATGAATCCCCTGGCTAAAGAAGCTGAAAATAGGATAAAAAATCTTTTCATTGTGTATTGTCTTTTAACGGTGATCCGATGTCAGTATCTTGGTGAAATTTACCTTGAAAGCATCAATGACCAACACATTTAAACATTAGTTACAGGATTTCATCATGAGCTGACATCGGTTGGAGAAGCGCTGGGAAACCTTCCAGGGAATACTGGGCAGCTGTTTCGTCAGCCTAGTTTGGGATTCTTCATCAGTACGCACCCACCGCCAGAGTTCGAACCCATGACCTACTGCTTAGAAAGTGAGCTCGTAGACCATTAAGCCACTGCGACCCGATCCAATGACTAGGGCATGAATTCTAATTTCCGCCAATTCACGACATCGCACGACCGCTAGCCAGTGTCTTCGATGAGTATTTTTGTCGTGACCTACAGGTGCAGCAGATAGCATGTGAGGACAAATACTCGCCGAAGAAATTGGCTAGCCGTCAGGCTATGTCGTGAATAGGCAGAAATTGGAATTCATGGGCCATTGGATCAGGTCACAGTAGCTTAATGGTCTACAAGCTCACCTTGTAAGCAGGTCATGGGTTCGAACCCTGGAGGTGGTTGCGTAGTGATGAAGAATCCGAGATTACAAAACGAGCTCGTTGTCCATCGAGCCACTATAACAAAAGTGAGATAGTATGATCTAGATACTTTGAATTTCGCAATGAAATATTCGGCGGCCTGCTTAAAACTTGTGCTACCAATATACTGCGTAGAATCTTTCTTACTCAGATTGCTTGAATCTAGTAAAATGACCTCAATTAAAACGTTTACAACGGGCTGATTCGTAAGTTCCTACTAAACGTGAGAGGAAAAGTATTATCCTCGATGGATGGCAGCTTATCCCAGTGCATGAGATGACCATTCCTTGATTCACAAAATGTACTCCTGAACTTTTCATAATTGGCATTCAATAAAATGTCGTCATGTATTTCTCAAAGGAGAAAGAGAAGAGATAGCACTATTGTGGACTGGTAGTTTGCGCTTCAGGTCAGATAGAACTATGTCACACAACCTAATGTCGTCAGTTAATCTTGTTGATTTGAAGATTCTGGACGAGGTCGGTTGGTCGGTCGGTTTTCGACATAGAACTTTGCACATATGTGCAGCAGTTCAAGTCGCCACACTTCACTCCTTTTAGCACACAAAGCAAGAGAAGAAAGTAGGAGAAATGCATATTAGAGACAGTAAACAGAGGTGTGAGACAAAGGAATAGTAATAACGAAGAACAAAACAGTTTAATTGGAAATCATAAGTCACAAGGAGTGGATGCATCTACACCAGCCATTGAAAACGATTTTGAGCCATGTCACCAATTGTTTCCAACCTGTGGTTTTTACCGTCCCGAGGACCCCAACCAGTCAGGAAGTCTACACCTTCCTACGTGGCTTAAGCTAACTGTTGTGGATTTCATTGACTGGTGCCATGTTCTCGTTTGACCGCCGCTAGCTCTTTTCCAGCCTGGCTCTATATCAGCTAACATTGCCCGTCGAGGAAGGCGATGACTAGACATACGTAATACATGTCCTAACCATCTCAGTCGATGTAATTTCACAGTTTCGTCTATTGATTTCCCCGCCTTACCTAGCACTCGACGCCTAACCTCAATATTGCTCACCTTATTATACCACTTCACACGGGAGATAGAACGCAGACACCTATGATCAAAGACAGCTAATCTTTTCATGTCTTCTGCTCTCAATGGCCAGGTCTCACAGCCATGAAGGACGACGGAGCGGACTGATGAGCAGTACACACGCCCTTTGGTCGATAGTCGGATATCGCGTCTACGCCAGAGACGGCGTAAACTGGCATATGCGAAACTAGCCCTCTGTATTCGTCGGAGATCAACCCATTGGGGCTGATGGTACTTCCCAAGTAAGTGAAGCGGTCAACGTGCTCTACCACTTCACTTCCTATTTCTAATTTAATCTGGACGAGGAGAAAATATCATGCAATAAACTAAGCTGAAAATTGTGTACATTATATAAACACTGTTCCGAATAAAATTGTTATTATTATTATCATTATTATTGATATTAAAATCTGTGGTGAATTTCACCTAAAGCTGTATAATTTGAAACCTGAGAATTTGGTTCTTTCTCTAAATGGCTTCATCTGAAATTGTGAAATGTCAGGTAAAACGAACACATAGTCACGATGTTCACAGACACACATACACACACGCCAAAGTCTACCATAATTTATGTCCCGATAGCTATAAAACTACGGGTTTAGTCTAAATAAAGTTAAATTCTAGAAAACCACAATCTCTAGTATATTACATATATATGATTGCTGTTTAGAAAAAAAAGTGGAGGTTCTACGGGGACATACACACACAATCATATATGCAAAAGTATTTCTATACAAACAACAGTAACTTGGGACTGTTTGTGATGCAATTCCGGAAATGAATAATTTATTATGTTAGACAAAATGAGAGGAAATTGGCATATTTATTGGCAATTGTCAATAACGTGGAATCTGAAATTGCCCTGCCTAATTGGCTGAACTCATATTACCGAATACTACTTTATACACACACTAATGTAAGCATTTTAGTGATTCATTTTGATCCGAATAGGTTAGAAGTAATATTTCTGACTTTGGGAAAACTTGTTTAAATATGAACAGCTTGTTTGAAAATCTGAAGAAACAGTCTCCAAAAGATGAGGTGGTCTGATACAATTACAAGCTTTGCTACGGATTAAAAAGTGAAGCTGTGGCTTACAGGTTTTGTTACTCAACTTTCGAACACTGAGTTGTGCAGCTGAACCCAGCTCCACCTACTCCGGTTTCGACAGCTCTCACACACAACAGCAAGGGCTCATTTCCAACTGGATTGGAATACAAGTGGCTAGTAGTAGCTTTTGCATTACAAATGTATGCAACATCAGTTAGGAATTATTGTCACCAACTTCAACGCCCACACTGTATTGAATAATCTACAGTGTATACACCAAACTGAATAGAAATAGCCACCACCTTGACAGAACTGTAGAATACGATCACCGTTGTTAGTTCGTCAGCAGGGAACACCGTAGATACCACTAACATACTTCTCAGTCCGACACAACTTCCCTACTTGGGCATTGAAATTGCCTAGTAAAACAAATGTGTCTGAGCGTTTTGTTTTCGCAGCAGACTATACAGTTTTTGGTAGAGATCATCCTGTAATTCATCCGAACTGCAGTCCGTTAGGGAGTAAGCGGATACTATGGAGAGGCATCGAGGGGTTACGCAGTTCTCTCTTTTTCTAACGAACCCATTCAGACGGACAGCACACATACGACTATCTACTGGAATCCAGTCAAGAAGTGATTTTTCTGCCCTAACGCTCAGTGCCATCTATACACCTGCGAGTCCTCGCGATCTAGCTGAAAAATTCCCTAACATCCAAGGTGAATTTCACAGATTCAACTGGTTGACCAGGTGGGATTATGTGAATCGGTCGGTCGGTTTTCGACATAGAACTTTGCACATATGTGCGGCAGTTCAAGTCGCCACAATCTATGTAGCACGCAAAACAAGAGAAGAAAGTAGAAGAAATGCATATTAGAGACAGTAAACAGAGGTGTCAGACAAAGGAATAGTAATAACGGAGAACAAAAGTTTAATTGGAAGTCATAAGTCACAAGGAGTGGATGCATCTGCGCCACTGAGAACGATTTTGAGCCATGTCACCAATTGTTTCCAACCTGTGGTTTTTACCATCCCGAGGGCCCCAACGAGTCAGGAAGTCTACACCTTCCTACGTGGCTTAGACTAACTGTTGTGGATTTCATTGATTGGTGCCATGTTTTGGTTTGACCGCCGCTAGCTCTTTTCCAGCCTGACCCTATATCAGCTAACATTGCCCGTCGAGGAAGGCGATGACTAGGCATTCGTAGCACATATCCTAACCATCTCAGTCGATGCAATTTCACAGTCTCGTCGATTGATTTCCCCGCCTTACCTAGCACTCGACGCCTAACCTCAATATTGCTCACCTTATTATACCACTTCACGCGGGAGATAGAACGCAGACACCTATGATCGAAGACAGCTAATCTTTTCATGTCTTCTGCTCTCAATGGCCAGGTCTCACAGCCATAAAGGAGGACGGAGCGGACTGTTGAGCAGTACACACGCCCTTTGGTCGATAGTCGGATATCGCGTCTACGCCAGAGACGGCGTAAACTGGCATATTCGAAACTAGCCCTCTGTATTCGTGCTGAAATTTCGTCGGAGATCAACCCGTTGGGGCTGATGGTACTTCCCAAGTAAGTGAAGCGGTCAACGTGCTCTACCACTTCACTTCCTATTTCTAATCTAGGGGTCGATGAAGTCCAATCCTGCAGCATCATCTTACATTTTATAGGGGCGAATCGCATGCCAAACATGCGGAGATTGTTGCTCAGGGTGTTCAGTAGACTCTGCATTTTGTCAGAGTCCTCGCCTAGAAGGACTATATCGTCTGCATATTCTAAGTCAACGAGATTCTTCCCTGGTAGCAAGTCAATCCCTGAGTCGCTGAAGTGAGTTAGGGTTAAGTCCATTAGTACATCTATGATGAAATTGAATAGGAATGGGGATAATGGGCATCCTTGACGGACGCCACTAGTCGTCACCACTTCAGATGACAACTCGCCATAAGCCCTCACCTGGCTGCATGAGTACGAGTAGAGTGCCTTAATCAGTGCAATGTATTTTCTTGGCATTCCCTTTACAGCCAAGCATCGCCAGAGAACCTCCCGGTCGACAGAATCGAATGCCGCCTTTAGGTCAAGAAATATAATGATTGTCGGACGCCGGTAGGAATGCCTATGTTCTAGAATCTGTCGA